ACAGAAGCAGACTGCCTCATCTTTCTCCTGTGGAGCATCTGGTGGGTTTGAAGCCTTGACCTTTTGGTTAGCAGCCATATACTTTAACCACTGAGCCACCAGAGCTCCTGTAAGACAAGATCAGTGGTTTTCAAACCTTTTTAGGCAGTAAAAATGTGTTTTCAAATAAAGGAGTCTCTGAAGTCCAGAATGTAAAATGGCATGTTGAGGCCGAGTAGGCGCTCAGGGCCCAGCTGGCTCCATCTCTCTCTTACAGGAATTGGTATCCCACTCCCCACCACTCAAGTCTCCCTGACCCACGCCATCCCACCCCCCATGATCCTGAAACAGCTTTGCAGAACTCACTGTAGGGCTCTGAGGAGCAAAGTTCAAAACCAACTGCACTGAATCATTTTGGAACTTTAATACTTATTAAGATAATAATAAAGTAATAATAAATAAACAAAGTAATACATGCAGTGGATAAGAGATTCAAATAACACAAAAGTACAAAGAATAAGAGTCCCTGTGGTAGTTCAGTTGATGTGTCAATGTGGCTGAGCCTGGTTGAGTGGCTGGGTAGCTGGATGTAGAATTCTCCATGATGAGACTAGAAATCAACTGAGTGGTGGAATCTACTGTGAGTAGCTGCATGGCTGCCTTAGGGAATGTGGTCTGCTTCCTGTATATAAGAAGAAGCCTTGGGGAATGGTCTCTAGCTTGTGGGACCTTGGACCCTGCATGTAGCTGTGTCGTTGTTCAGCAGCCTGCCATGCTCTGCCAACCTTGGGACTTACAATGGACTTGAATTAATGGCCTGCCATGTGATTTGATAATATTGGGACTGTGCCTTGTTACTTGTCAACCTAGGGCTTGGCAGCCTCAGCAGCCAGCAGCTGCCTGAGTAAAGAAAAGCCTCTAGCTTCAGTGGGCTGGAAGCTGGAGGCAGAGTTGAAGCCCAAGGCCAAGGGGCTTTCACCCAGCCCCTAGAGCCTGGCACTTTGAACTTGGACTTAAGGCCTCCAAACTGTAAGAGAATAAACTCCTGTTTGTTAAGGCCACCCCATTTGTGGTATATGTTCTTGTCAGAGTGGCACTAGGCAACTAGAATAGTCCCTAAACCACCCTGATCCAAAGATCAGCAATCTCTTTTTGCTTATTTTGTCTTTATAGCTCGAGAGTCCCCTAGCTCTATTTATGAATGCATCAAACAACCAAAGCCCTTGCCGTCAAGCCAATTCCAATTCATGGCGACCCCGTGTGTTACAGAGCAGAGTTGTGCCACACGGTTTCCTTGGCTGTAATCTTTATGGAAGCGGATCTCCGGGTCTTTCTTCCATAGCGCAGCAGGGTGCGTTCAAATGCCCATCTTTATTAGGTCAGGAGTTAAGCACAAACCATTTGAAACACCCCCCAAAAAAAAAAACCCACTGCCACTGAATCGATTTTGACTCACAGCGACCCGATGGACAGAGTAGAATTGCCCCACAGGACTTTCAAGGCTGTAAATCTTTACAGAAGCAGACTGCTTCCTGTTTCTCCCATGGAGCAGCTGGTGGGTCTGAACTGTGAACCTTTTGGTTAGCAGCCAAATGCTTTAACCACTGCCCCACTAGAGCTGCTTTTTGCAACACCCAAGGACCTCGTAAGTGCATAAGTACATTCTTATTCTAAAATGACCTGATGAATATAAATGACTTGCCCAAGGTCTCCACAGGAAAATTATTCTAAGACCCCCACCAGCTCTGCATTCCATCCTGATATTCTAGCTCCAACTTCCCTCCGTTCTCCCTTTCCCCGGTGGTGGTGCTGCTGCACCCCTCCTCAGAATCCTCTCTGGGGCCTCCTCAGCAGCTGCTGACTCTCCCCTGGCACTTACCTGGGCTGTGGAAGATCTGAGAGGCTGAGGTGTAACCTTTGGATGTAAAGGCCTTCAGGGCCTGGTGGACACAGGCAAAGTCCTTTGGGTAAGAGAGGACATTCTCCAGGTTGGTCTTGGTGTAATCTCCAGCCCCTACAATAAAGGACCAACATGAGGGGCTACTGCTGGAGGAATGGGGGACCTGCCTTTTGAGAGTAGGGCTGAAGAACAGGCTAGAATGGAGAGTTATTCCCTGCTATGGAGACAGTCACCGAGCATCAGAGCTCCATGCATCCTTTTGGAAGATGACACATAGAAATAGAGACAGAGTTAGGTTCTTCTAGGGCTCTGAATACTCTCCTCTCCCATTTCTCTGCCTATTGCCATCACACTCATCTTGAAAACCAAGTCCAACCACTGGCTATTCCACAGGGACTCGTTTTTACTTGGGTTGGGTTTGCGAAAGTTCACCCTATAGGTAGGGACACTCAATCACTATTTAGAGGAGAAATCAGAGAATCATAAAAGAGGATGTTCAACCCCCTCTCAGTTACCCATTCATTATTAAGCATGAGTTCTATACTTCTGTGCAGTACCAGCTAACATGGATTGAGCGCTTCTGTGTCCCAGGCATCAATGAATCTTCAAAACAACCTTTTTAGATAAGGACAACCACTAGCCACATTATACGGCTGAGGAAACTAAGGTTTATGAAATTAAGGAACTTGCTCAATTTAAGGTCACATAGCTCTGGTGGTGCTGTGCCTAAGGCATTTGACTGCTAACCAGAAGGTTGGTGGTTTGGACCCACCAGCCACTCCACAGAAGGAAGATGAAGCAATCTACTTCTGCAAAGATTTACAGCATTGGAAACCCAATGGGGGTCGCTGTGAGTCAGAATCAACTTGATGGCAGTGGGTTTGGTTTGGTTTTGGTTAACTAGTAAGTGGAGGATGGAGACAGGCTACAGAGCTGTATCTTTTGGGCAATAAAGAAATTAACTGAAACCAATCAACTGAAATTTGCCTCCCAAGGGGCACTGGGCAATGTCTGGAGACAGTTTGGTTGTCACCACCGTGGTGAGGGGGTTGCTACCAGCATCGAGTAGAGGAGTAGAGGACGAGGATGCTGGGATCCCGGAATTTCAGAAGGAAAGTTTCAAACTGCTCACTTTATTGTCTCTAGCATCCTTCTCCTGGATTTTCCCCTTGGGAAGGACAGCCCTCTGCATTGTTTATATAGCAATCCATTTGTGCTATTCCTAGGGTAATAATCCCATAGGACTTGATGGTGTTCCCTCAGGAACCAAACCAAAACCCAACCCATTGCCATTGAGTCAATTCCAACTCACAGTAACCCTCAAGACAGAGTTGAACTGCCCCATAGGGTTTCAAGGCTGCACATTTTCACAGAAGCGGACTACCTCATCTTTCTCCCATGGAGTGGCTGATGGGTTCAAACAGCAGACCTTCTGGTTAGCAGTCAAATGGTTTAACCACCGTACCATCAGAGCTCCTTATAAGCAAGAGTGCAGATTAAGTCATTATTAAATGAGGAAGTGGATGAATATCCAAGAAGGAAAACAGACCCACCCATATATAGCTCATTTTCACAGCTTCCTCCCAGAAGCACAGGCTTATAGGTGGTGTCTGGGTTGGTGACCCTAATGGGAGTATATAACATATGAACGGGAGATAATTCTGTTTGGTTCTTACCAAGCAGGACGTGAGTGAGGAGGCTGGCGATGCTGAATGGGGAAAAGGCCATATTGGTCTCAGCCTTCTTCACCTCTGAGAAGGAGTGGTAGAGCTTCAGGGAGAAATCTGTCAAAGCCTCCCCCAATACTTCTTCTGCTGCACTGATCTCCCAATCAGAGCAGGAGGTGTTGGGCACTGGGCAGAAAGGTTCAGTGGGGGCCAGGGTAGGAGAAACTGTGAAGGACTGGGTAGTGTTTGGGAGGAGAGTTGAATAGTATTGGGTAGTGAGTTGAGTGGTGGAGTTTTGGGTGAGCTGGGAGGTGGACTGGGTAGTGATAGTTTGAGTGAAGGGTTGGGTGGTAGACTCATCGATGTTTTTGTCTACTTTTTCGATGGTTTGCTTAGTGTTTCTTAGGAAGTCGGATAGATTTTTTGGGACATCTGCCTCCATATTGTTTTCTTTGCTTCTCTCTTCCAAGTTCTCCATGGGGCTGTGGCTGGTACCATTCGGATTTGAAAAAGCTCCATCCTATAGTTCAAGAAACTGAGTTTCAGTTTTCTTATTTTGAAGCACACAAACACTCAAAACAGAAAGTGAGAGTGAGATGAAAAATGCCCTGTACTACCTGGGGGAGCCTAGTGAGTGAGCGTTCTGTCCTGGGGCCACCACCACTAATTACTACAGAGGGGCGTAACATAGGGGCATTGAGGCAGGGATCAAGGAGCTCTGACGGTGCAGTGGTTAAAGCACTCAGCTGCTACCTAAAAGGTCAGTCAGTGGTTCAACCTCATCAGCTGCTCTGGTGGAGAAAGATGAGGCAGTCTGCTTCCGTAAAGATTTACAGCCTTAGAAACCCTTTGGGACATTTTTTGTGGGTTTTTTTTTTTTTTTTTTTTGAGGCAAGGATATTCTCTGTAGAAGGAGGGACAGGCAGGAATTATGTTACCTCTGACTAACTAGTGCCAGATAACCAAAACAACCAAACTCACTGCCATCAGTTGATTACTGCTCATAGTGACCTGCGCTCTACGGCACACAACAACAACACAACAACAAGTCACCTGCACTGGGTTTCTAAGGCTGTAAATCTTGCCCCATCTTTTTTCCATGGAGCGGCTGGTGAGTTCAAACCACTGACCATTTGGTTAGCAGCCAAATGCCTTAAGCACTACACCACCAGAGCTCCTTCACTACTGCCAGATAGGAAGATGCTCCCCAAACACCAAAGCTCAGTGTCAATCACCATTCATCCATGTTCTTGTAATTTCTTTAAATACCTGCCTCTCCTGACTCACTGCCCGGCCCATTTAGACACTGTAGCTTGTTTTATAACTGGTTTTTCACATTTTGCTTGTGACTTATTAGTGAGAATTGAAAACAAGCAGCATTCTGAAAAAGGAAGGAGTAAGAAAGGAAAAAGGAAAGGAAATCCTATGGACCAGGGGCTTTCAATGGGTGGGACAGACCAACGCCCAGGAGAAAACTGTCAATGTCTATAGACATTTTTGTTGTCAAAACTGGGTGGAATCTACTGGAATCTAGTGGATAGAGGTCACAGCTATGAAAAACACTTTACAATACACAGTAAAGAATTATCTAGCCTCAGATGTCAATGGTACCCTGGTCGACAAACCTTACCCCCATTTCTCAGATGAAGAAACTGATGCTCAAGCCAAAACCCAAACCAAACTCACTGCCATCAAGTAAATTCCAACTCATGGCAACCCTTTAGGACAGAGTGGAACTGCCCTCCTAGGGCCTCCAAGGCTGTAATAAGGCTGTAAACCTTTAAGGAAGCCGATTGCTTCATCTTTTTCCCGGTGCTAGGTGCTAACAGCCAAACGGTTTAACTACTAGGCCACCAAAGTACCTTAATTGATGTTCAGACCTATTAAGTAGCTAGCTCAAAGTCTCACAGAAGTGAAACCGCGGTCTCTGAACCCAGATCCCTCTCTCATTACTAGGTCATCTGTTGAATGTCAAGGGGCACTACGTACACACAGCACACACACAGAGTGTCTTCGCCCTGTTTGGTGGACACGCCTGTTTGATGCACACGGTGCGGTCTGCTTATTCTCTAGTTTGTAAGTCTGGGTAACCAGACTCCGAGAGGTGACTTGCTCCGAGCCTTACGGCGGGGCCACGATTCGAACCGCTTTAGGAATGCTGACCCGAGGATGGGAGCGGACTTGCTGGGCTCTGGCTGAGCTCGCCCCAGCCCCCGGGCCGTAAGGGTTAACCCGAGCCCCTTCCTCGCGCCCGCCCCGCCCCCACCCCGGAGGGGCCACTCACCCGAGCCTGCGGCAGCAGCAGCAGCAGCAGCAGGGTCAGCGGGGTCAGCCGAGGGGCCATCTGGGCGGCGACGTCGGCGGGGACCTGAGGTGGGAGCCTGCGTCGGAGCGGGCTCGGAACTCGGAGGCCTGCGCCCCCGCCCCCTCGGGGCCCGCCCCCACTCGGCTCCCAGCCCGGCCCCTCTCTCCGAGCTCCCCCAGCGCCCTCCCGGGGCCACCTTCTCTAGAGCTCCTCCCCCAGTTTTGTTTTCCCAAAACCGCTCCCTTTCCCGGCACCCGCTGGCCCTTCCTCCCCGCCCTCTCCCCCCGGGCCGGGTCTTGGTCCATCTGTTCAGTCTTGGGGGTCCCGCTTTAGCTAAACAATGAGGCCAGAGGCAAGAGGAGAGGAGGGGCAGAGGGGGCTGGGGCCGACAGCCCCTTGGGGGGGGGGAGGAGGAGGAGGAGGAGGAGGAAGAAAAAGTCCCAAGTGGAAGCAAGCCTCTGCGGAGATGGAGGTGGGCTGGCAGGAAAGGAAGGCTGCCGGATACCCCTCTCCCAGACCTCCTCACTGTGCTCCCTGCCTGCGCCAAACCTGCTTCCAACTCCTGGCCAGTGGGCAGCGTCGGTGCAGACTGCGTGGACAGTCCCGCGGGGTCAGTGAGGGTGGGGTGGGGGGGGGTCAGCCTTAGCTATTGGTTGGCCCAGGACACTGCCCAGTTACAAATTAAGGATGATTGATCGCTGGTGTGAGTTCCCGTAATTCAGGGTCCAATGGACCCAAGTCTTGTCCTGGTGTGTGGGCAGCGGGGGGCCAGAGACTTAGCCCAAAGCCTCTTGGGAGCGTGGGAACACTTGGGGGCAGTTCTCAGCCTTACACAAAGCAGAGTCCTATCCCCCCACCCACTTTTAGGGCTTCCTGGGTCGTGGTAGAAACAGGGTTGCCACGGCCTGTTCCGCAGTTATTAAGCAACAGAACTTTTCGGAAATCTCAGTTGATTTTCAAAGTAACTGAGAAAGGTTCCGGTATGCCTACTTGATAGTTAAGAAACGGAGCCGTACTGCCATGAAACATCTGTCCCACGGTCACCATGACTCACAACGAAACCTGAACTTAGACCTAGGCCCCCTAAGTCTTAAACCTGAGCCCCCGCCCCCTCTCTGGGTGTTCAAACAGTGGTTCTTCTCTTGTATGGATTCACTGGGTGGTGCAAATAGTAAACATGCTTGCTAATGAAAAGGTTAAGGTCTGAGTCCCACCCAGAGGCTCCTCAGAAGGCCTGTCAATCTGCTTCCAAAAAATTAGCTACTGAAAGAGCTCTGGAGCCCAGCTCTACTCTGCGGCACATGGAGTTGGAGTCCAGCGATGGCAACTGGTTTTTCCCTTGTGTAATGGACAAGGAATCCGGGACCCCAGCCCAGCAAGCATTTGCCTCAAGTGGACAACGGACTGCTGGAGCATCTGTGTCTGTCACAGGGGGAGGGGTGGTAGTGCTGGATTGGGAACCAGTCCACCTGGCTTGCTGTGGGACTCCAGCAAGTTGATTTCCTCCTTGGCAGCTAAGTGGTCTCCTCTTAGGGTTGCCAGATAAAATACAGTGTTCCCAGTTCCATTTCAGTTTCAGATGAACAAATAGTCTTTAAGTGTAAGTATCTCCCCAGTTTCGCCTGGATGTATTTATACTAAAAAAAAGAAGAAAAAAAATTCATTGTTTATCTGAAACTCAAATTGAACTGGGCTTCCTGGATTTTACTTGCTAACTCTGTCAACCCTCCCACCTCTGCCAAACCAGAAGGTTGTTTCAGATGACCTAATCCAGCTTGAATGTTCTGCCATCATCTCTCTGCCGGTCCTGTCCCTTAGCCGTGCATGTGCATTTAGAAAGTTGGCTGCTGACAGCAGAAGTGCTGCTCCAAGGGACTGACCAATGGCAGAAACAGGAGGACTCTTGTGAGGCACCGTGGAGGTCCTTGGAGAAGACCAGAAGACCACCCCTTCATTCCCGATGGTCTTTATAGAACCTCAGTGCTTTGGACCAAAACTCTGGGGGAAGTCATGTCTCATCAGTGCCATCATTTGAACAACGGCCACAAAAAATGCTACTCCTGCATCCCCAGTGTCCAAGCTGGTGGCCTTGGGGCACCCTGAACTAGTGGGCACTGGATCAGCAATACAAGGAGAAGGTGGTGGGAAGCAGACTCCCTGCGTGCTTACCATGGGCCAGGCACTGGGAAAGCGCTCAGCGTTCATCTTCTCATTGACTGTCACAACACTGATGGAATGGGTACTAACAATAACCCCATCGTAAATGAATTTAATCAACTCGTCCAAGATTACATAGCTGTAAGTGGCAAAGCCAGGACTTGGATTCACTTTATTCAACCCCCAAATGTTGTTGTTAGTTGGCGTCGAGTTGGCTCCAACTCCTGGTAACCTTATGTAGGACAGCTCGGTCCTTCACAATCTTCGATATTTTCCAGCCTGGTGTGGCTGTTGTGTCAATCTGTCTGTCTGAGGGTTTCTTTCATTTTCACTGACCCTCTACTTTACCATACGTAGTGTCCTTTCTAGTGATAGGTCTTTCCCCAGGACATGTCCAAAGTTAGCGGGCCAGGGTCTCACCATCCTCACTTCTAAGCCACATTCTGATTGTATTTCTTCCAAGACTGATCCGTTTGTTCTACCAGCAGAATATTCAGTAGTCTTCACCAACACCACCATTTAAGTGCATCAATTCTTCTTTTGTCTTCTTTTTTCATTGTCTAGCTTTCTCATGCATATGAAGCAATTGAAAAAAAAAACCTAGCTTGAGTCAACTGACCTAGCCCAAAACTTTGTCTTAACCTCTATATTATACTGGCCCACACCAAGGGCTAACTTGAAGCAGGCAACAGAGTGAACATCCTTTGCACAGCTGCAGGTGCCTGATACTTTATGGGCCAAAGTCTCAGGTGGGTGAGGCCCAGTGGAGAGGTTTTCCGAGACTGTGGGTCTGCCTGGGTGCATGGTAGCTCTCTGGGCAAATATCTTGAAAGAACAAACCGGTTGTTGGGTCAGACTCGTGGTGAGCTCCATGCATTGCAGAGCAGAACTGTGCTCCGTATGGTTTTCATGGCTGTGACCTTGGGGAACCAGATCGCCAGGTCTTTCTTGCAAGGCACTTCTTTAAACTGCTAGTCTTTTGATTGATAGTCACATGCTTAACAATGTGTGTCACCCAATGTCTCTTACTATGAACATTTTAAAGAGTTTCTCAGCTTCGTGGAGACTTTGCTGCTTGATGAAGTCAGAGCTGAAGCTGAAGTTCTTCCCTCCACTGGGGACACCAGAACTTTTCTTCAAGGTGAATAGTCTGAGGTTGACTTAATCAGTCAGGGCATTTGCAGAATTTCTCCCTAGTGTTTGTGTTGAGATACATCATCAGCATAGGATTATAATTCAGCCCTTCTTCCCATGGGGCAGATCTGGGGTCCCTCTGCCTTGAGGATCTTCCTTTCTGGTCAGTGAGGAGGGATGAGTCTTCAGGGAACCTCTCCCCACATCTTGGACATAGGCATGGCTTCTCTCTCCTGTGGCTTTTCTGGAATTGGATGGAGTTCAGGTTCTCACTAAAGCCCTTCCTACACACTCAGAGGGTTTGATCTCATCTTTCTCACAGGTGAGTCCTCATTTACTAAAAGGACAAGTTGCTGTGGCTTTGCCCTCTCTCACTCTCTGTATACTCGTAGTTTGTCCTGTTAAGGAAGCGTGTCCCACACTTGGAAACAGGTCAGAAGAATCAGGGTCACTTGGCTGTCAGAACACAGGCTACGGTTTGACTGACTCCTCATTTCTTCCACAGGGACACGGGGGCGGCATCTTCTGATCACCTCTGACTTCCCAAGAGGGAGACAGAAGCACCATGAGCAGCCCAAGGCTTATTCCTACGAGGCCAGACATACCGCCACCCTCCAACCTTGTTACTAATTCCGACACCAGCCTTCCCTCCCACAGCACTCACTACTTCTCTGCTGGGTTCCATAATTTGTTGCAATGGCCATACAGAACTCACAATACTCACGATTATGGGGTTTATTAGGAAAGTAACAGGCTACAATTTGGTTCAGGAGCACACTCAGGATACAATTCTTTGATCAGGACAGTCTTCCCTGTGCTATGCCCTCAGCCTCACCTCTCTGGCCCTTGGCTTTGGCCTGGCCTCTGCCCTGCTCAGGTAAATGTTACAAAGCTCTTTTAGCTCTGCCTGTAGATATACCTAGGTG